GGAGGGGGGAGCTCTAGGCCTCCCAGATGGTGTCGGAGTATATGCGTTCGGAAGGATCGTGCCGCATCGCCGATGCATCGCCGATTCGGCTCGATGTGGGGCCTAATTTTCTCCACGCCGTCGTCGCAGATGTACCGCCGACGTCGCCAGTGCATGGCCGATGCATCGCCGATGCATCGGCGGTGCGGCGAGATCCGTCGACCCCATCTACTCGGACCTCTAGGAGCAGGAGACGAGGAGGAGGCCAGAGCCAGACCCCCTCGAGTCCTCAAGAAATCACGATGTCAGGTTTTCCTCTATATTTGGCCTCTGGGTGCCCCCACCGAGGCCTCGGGACCGTCAAGAAACGGCTGGGGATGAGAAACCGGCCCTGAGGAATGGGTGGAGACTTGGGGGGTCGACGTTCCGAAGAATCACGACGTCGGGTGTCGGGGGGGGGAGGGCAGGAGGCGCGGAGGAGGCCAGAGGAGGACGAGCAGGAGGCGCGCAGGAGGCTCGGGCGGGTGGTAGTGGGGTGTGACGTGCACGGGTGGGGGGGAGGAAGGGACTTTTTGGGGGAGCCAGCCGAAGCCCGAAAGGGGCCCTGAAGGGCTCCTTTAGGGCCTGTCCCTTCACCCCCCATGCAGGTCATCCCCCATGCAGGTCGGTCGTGGAGAGTAGGTGATGAATTATGGACTCCAGCATCCCAGTCTACCTCACGCACCTTCCTACTTCAGGAATCGGCATGCTTTCGCTGTGTGCTGCTATTATCTGGGAGGGCCTTGGACCAGATCTACTTTATCCGCCTTCCTACAGTCGGCTCGGATTAGCAGGTCGACCCTGCCAAATCAAGGATACCCTCGTGCCCCGTGTCTCACGACCCATGCCTCCTGCATCCCTGTGGCGATGTGGCCCTCGGAAGGGTCTTGTGTCCTCTCGCGTGTCCTCTCCGATCAAGTCCGACTGCACTTCATGTGTGTTGCCTGCTTCTTCCCACCGACGCGCAGCCAACCGCCCGCCCGAGAGGCCGAAGGCCGGAGGCCAGAGGAGGGGGAGGAGGAGGCCGGAGTTGACGCTTCTGCCGGATCGCACGGGAGTTCGCGCAGAAGAAGAAGAAGAAGAAGAAGAAGAAGCAAACAACAACAAATAAAAGGAGACAAGGAAACAAGGAAGAATAAGGAGAGAATAAGAAGAAGAAGAAGAAGAGGATGACGAGGAAGAAGAGGAAGAAGAAAGAAGGAAGAAGAATAAGAAGGACAGAAAAAAAATGTAAAAACAAACAAGCAGACAAAACTCTTGGACCCCCCCTTCTTGGACGCCCCCGACCATTCCTTGGGACTGGTGTTCCGTCCCGAACCGTTTTTTTACCGCCCCGGGGCCCGTCGATGGCCTTTGGAGGACGACGGTTGCCACAAAAGTGTCCCGTCGACTATTTCTCACGACGTGGACGTTGCGAACAAACATCAACATCGCAAAACATCGAAGCGCCAGACCCAATCTGTCTGAGGCATGTTTTGAGCCGGATCGATATGTGAGGGTCCCAGCGCCCGGCATTGGGCGAAGACGCCCGTTGAAAAAAAGACGCAACACCAGGATCCCAGGGGTCCGCGGGCAACGTGTGTTCACCGTGCCACGTTGGCGTTTCCCGAGGCATCGTCGATCCTCGACCCAGGAATCGTACGGTGCACAGGTGGTCGGCCCGTACTGCGCTGGAGCGGCGCCTGAACGGATTCCAGACATAATGCGTTTCGAAATTAGTTCCCAACCATCCTGTGGTGTTGGGTCCTCGTTTTGAAGAGACGTCGCCCCGCGTTCCTCCTTCCTCCTCCTTCCTCCTCCTCCCCTTCCTCCCCCCTCCTCCCCCTCCCACCACCCATTCTGGCACACCCCTCACACGTTTCGTGGCCCCATAGGGAGCTCCACCGAAGGCCCCAGTGGCTGCGCCCGCATGCGGTTCACCCCCCATTCTGGCACACCCTCACACGCTTCGTGGCCCCATAGGGAGCTCCACCGAAGGCCCCAGTGGCTGCGCCCGCATGCGGTTCCACCCCCCATTTCTGGCACACCCCTCACACGCTTCGTGGGTGGCTCCATGGGGAGCTCCACCGAACGCCCCAGTGGCTGCGCTCGCATGTGGTTCCCCCCCCCATTTCGGCACACCCCTCACACGTTTCGTGGCCCCCATAGGGAGCTCCACCGAAGGCCCCAGTGGCTGCGCCCGCATGCGGTTCCACCCCCCATTCTGGCACACCCCTCACACGTTTCGTGGCCCCATAGGGAGCTCCACCGAAGGCCCCAGTGGCTGCGCCCGCATGCGGTTCCACCCCCCATTCTGGCACACCCCTCACACGTTTCGTGGCCCCATAGGGAGCTCCACCGAAGGCCCCAGTGGCTGCGCCCGCATGCGGTTCCACCCCCCATTCTGGCACACCCCTCACACGTTTCGTGGCCCCATAGGGAGCTCCACCGAAGGCCCCAGTGGCTGCGCCCGCATGCGGTTCCACCCCCATTCTGGCACACCCCTCACACGCTTCGTGGCCCCATAGGGAGCTCCACCGAAGGCCCCAGTGGCTGCGCCCGCATGCGGTTCCACCCCCCATTTCGGCACACCCCTCACACGCTTCGTGGGTGGCTCCATGGGGAGCTCCACCGAACGCCCCAGTGGCTGCGCTCGCATGTGGTTCCCCCCCCATTTCGGCACACCCCTCACACGGTTCGTGGCCCCATAGAGAGCTCCACCGAAGGCCCCAGTGGCTGCGCTCGCATGCGGTTCCACCCCTTTTTCGGCACGCCCTTCACACGTCTCGTGGCCCCATAGGGAGCTCCACCGAACGCCGCAGTGGCTGCGCTCGCATGCGGTTCCACCCCCCATTTCGGCACACCCCTCACACGTTTCGTGGCTCCATAGGGAGCTCCACCGAAGGCCCCAGTGGCTGCGCTGGCATGCGGTTCCACACCCCATTCTGGCACACCCCTCGCACGTTTCGTGGCCCCATAGGGGGCTCCACCAAAGGTCCCAGTGGCACTGCCCGCTTGCGTCCGCCACCACCCAGCACAGCCCTTGTTCCCTGCGCTTCACCCACCCAGAACAGCGCTTCGTAGCCCTATAGGGAGCTCCACCAAAGGTCCCAGCGGCACCGCCCGCATGCGTCCGCCACCACCCTGCGCAGCCCTTGCTCCCTGCCTGCGTTTCACCCACCCAGTACAGCGCTTCGTGGCCCCATAGGGAGCTCCACCGAAGGTCCCAGTGGCACCGCTCGCATGCGTCCGCCACCACGCAGCACAGCCCTTGCTGACCGCGTCTCACCCACCCAGTACAGCGCTTCGTGGCCCCATAGGGAGCTCCACCGAAGGTCCCAGTGGCACCGCCCGCATGCGTCCGCCACCACCCAGCACAATTGCGGCATTCACAACTGCATATGGTTGGGTCCTTCGCCAGGCTAATTGTTTTTTATACATTAACATAAGAACCGTTCGAAGGGCACACGGATTTCTTGGATCTGCATTGGACCCCGATGCTTGGCGCGCGGATCGCGCCAGGGGCAGCGCCCGAGGCGCCGCCAGGGGGGGGCCAGCGCAGATCCAAGAAAGCCGCGCGGACCGTCCAGTGTTTATGTCTATGCCGGTGTTCTTGCCTCTATCGGTGCACAGGCCCCGTCCTCGCAAGGGTCGGCCACGCGCAGAGGGGGGCGGGGGGGACGGGGGGAGGTTTCTTAGAAGCACCCCTGCTTCTTAGAAGGTGCGGGCAGTGTCTGTAAATGTAAGACCCGCGCCTTCCGAGAAGCAGCCTCCTTCTGAGAAGCCTTCCCCCCTCCCCCTGCCACCCTCTGCGCGCCGCCAGAGGATCGGGGCAACGCAAGACTCGAGTACTCAGTACTCCAGAGCTCGGGTTTGCCGACGCTTCTTGACGAGCGCGCCCTCGTTTTGGACCGTCCAGTGCTCGTGGGATGTCTGCAGTGTGAGCGCGCGTCAAATTTCGGACCTGGTCTCGTCATTTTCACGATGGCGCCGTCAGGCCAGCCCGAGTCCCCCGAACCCGAGTCTCACGTCTCTCCGAAAGCAGCCCAGGAAAAGATGGGAACTTGTAGGAAGTGATGGGGACGACACAAACAGCCATAAGTATGTGTATATATATATCTATATATTATGCATATATACATATATTCTCAAACGCACCTCTCCGAGGGAGTAGAGCTCAGAGGCGATTAATGCGTACGCGTCCGCGATTTGTCTGGCTGTTTCGCTCGGGACATCCTCAAATTCTGAAAATTGGTGGCACCCCTCGCGCAGATCTTGACGTCAGGGTCCAAAAACACATGGGAATGTCAGCATTCTAACATAAAACCTTCAAAAACACATTGTAATTTCAATGATTTTGACCCCGATTCTCACAGAATGGCGATTTCGCCTGAGACATCCTCCCAAAATCGAGCCCCGACGTACCTTCTGGTACCCCAGACCCCGCCTCGGAGCCTCTTGGGAGCCTCCTGGAACCTCCTGGGGCTTCCTGGGGCTTTCTGTACCTTCTGGTACCCCAGACCCCGCCTCGGAGCCTCCTGGGGGTCTCCTGGAACCTCCTGGGGCCTCCTGCGGCCTCCTGGAGCCTCTTGGGGCCTCCTGGAGCCTCCTGGGGTCTTCTGGGGCCTCCTGAGGCCGCCTGGGGCCTCCTGAGGTTTCCTGGGGGGCCCTGGTACACACATCGCAAGGTGTGGCAACCCCATTTGCCCTCGAGTGCGCCCTCGATCTTAGATTATCCTGCGTTCACCTCCTGCCTCTTCCCCTTCTCTTAGGCACGCCCTGGCGGCGCCGCCCCAGCTTCCCCTTCTCCATCTCCGATCCTGCAGTCATGGTGTCTTCCTGCTTCAAACGCCCTTTCAGTTTTTTTTGTATGAGCCCGGGCACACACGTGCCACTTGTATAGATAGATGCGGGGAATCCTGGGATGTACGTCCCTTTCTTTGTGCGCTCTTGGGCCCCTTCAAGGAGGGCCTCGCGCGCGCGCGCGCCCAGGCCGGAGGACGATGGCGCCTCGGCCTGCGCAGCTGCTGCTGGCCGCCCTGGTGGCCGCGCTGCTGGCGCCCGGGTGCCTGGCGGCGCAGGCGCGCAGCGGCGCCACGCTGTCGTCGAACCCGGTGCGCAAGGCCGGCCCTGGCCGGCCGCTGCCGGGGAGCGGCGACGACGAGGAGGGCGAGGAGGAGGAGGAGGGCGAGGAGGAGGAGCCTGAAAGGAGGGCGAGGAGGAGGAGGAGGGCGAGAAGGAGGAGGAGGAGGAGGAGGAGGAGGAGGAGGAGAGAAGGAGAGAAGGGCGAGGAGAAGGAGGAGGAGGCGGAGGAGGAGGAGGAGGGCCCGCGGCTCGAAGCCCCTCGAAGGCCCGCTCGCGCGCCCGCTCGCGCGCCCCCGGCTCAGGCCGGCGACGACGGCGACGGCGGCGGCGACTCGGAGGAGGGCGAGGCTCGAAGCCCGAGGTGCGAAGGTTGTCGGCCGTCTTCGTCGCTTCTCGGCGGCCTTCAGCCTCGGGGTGCTCTCCAGAAGCTCCGCCTCGCCGAGAGCGCTCCTGGGAGGGCCCAGACCGTCCCGAGCGGCCGCGGGAAAACCGAGTCATGACCCGAGAACTAGACTGAACTCGGGCATGTCCCTCTGCAGGCTCAAAAAATAAAACATACGACTTTTTAATGATGTTTTATTGTTTTTTATTTGACGATCCGCCTGTAGGAGGACACACCCGACCTAAGACTAGACGACGAGGACCACCTGGTGGGATGGGCTCAGGGGGGGGGGCCGCTGCTGGCCTTCGGAGGAGGGCGAGTTGAGACCACGGGCGTTGGCCTTGGAGGGTTCGGGCCGCACGAAAGGGAGGCTTTGGGAAAGGCGGGGTCACGAAATTTGCTGCTTGCAGCTGGTTTCGGCCCCGCCGAGGGACCCATTCCTCAATACATAGTCGCCTCCGGCGCCGGGAGACGCCGGAAAAATCAGCTACGCGAGCTGATTCTCAACCCCCCCCTTTGCTATCCCCCCGTTCGCCCGACCCGGAGGGCCCCCTCATCGCCACGTTTATCAAACATCAGAAGTTGCCACGAACACGTTACCAAAGACGAGGCGAAGTGCGCGCGTGCCGTCGTTCCAAACGCGCCGTCGTTCCCAAATCCCCCCCCCCCAAAAAAAAGCCTAAGGTGCCTGCAGGAGTTCAAAACTGAGTGCCCCGAAAACATATAAACGCACATGAGCTCGAAGGAAGAATGCAGACAAAAACTGCACCCGCGCTCTTGCGAATTCTTGAGAAGACCATCGGTGTTTAAACAGTTTCGTAGAAATCTACCAACGGGCCTATCGCGCGCATGTCGAAATCTGTCGAACGCCCTTGCGCGCGCGTTGTCGCAATAATCCATTGCAAAAAACACGACGAAATGCACACGCGCCCGTCGTCGCGGTCGCATGCCGAAATCTGACAAACAAATACATTGTGTTTCGTAGGGAGGTCAAAATCGAGTATCAGCAAAACATGTTGTAATTATATATACACACCTACAAACATATATACGTACATGCATACATACATCCATACATACATACATGCATGCATGCATGCATACATAAATACGTGCATACATACATACATACATACATACATGCATGCATGCATGCATGCATGCATGCAAACATGCATGCATGCATACAGACAGACCGACAGGCAGACAGATAGACAGACATACATACAGACATTCATACATACATATGTATACATGCTACACGCATACCTACTTACGCATACACATACACATACACGTAGACGTCCACATGCACATGCACATGCAAATACGCATACAGACACACAGATATATATATATATATATATATATATATATATATATATATATATATAGGTTGGTGTGTGTGTGTGAACTTACTTACGCTTCGCGAATCCTCGTCAGCCCATTCAGAAGCGCTGCCCACGAAAGCTGACGGGAAATGGAAAGCAGAGACGCATACAGTTAACCAGAGCGGTCAAGAGAGGAGGGGGCTATATTGGAGCATCGGATGCTTGTTGGAGCTATGAGGCTTTTAGGGGGGTCTTGGGGTCCTCGTGGGGCTCTTTTGGGGCATCCTGGGGTCCTCTTTGCGCTCTTTGGGGGGTCTTTGGGACCTCTTCTGGCTCTCTTTTGGGGCGTCTTGGGGCCCCTGTTGGGGCCCGCTTGGGGCTACCTTGGGGCTCTCCTGGGAGCTTCAGAGGGTCTCCTTTGGCCATTTTGGAGACCATCGATCAAAACGAGGGATCCCTTATCTAGCCCCCCCCCCCCTTTCGAGCCCTCGAAATCACCTCTGGGGGGCCTCTGGGGGCGCTCTTGGGGCGATATTGGGCGCTCTCGGGGCCGCCTTAGGGGCCTTTTTGGGGCTCTCTTGGGCCATCTTGGGGCCATCTGGAGGCCCCACAAGCGCAAAGGCGAGAATGCCCAAATCATTGATGTTCTGATTTGCCCTAGGTGTTCAAAGGATTGTGGCTTCTCGGGGAGGTTTTGAGGGGACTCCAAAAGCAGTTGGATCCACCTGGCGGCCCTCCTCGGGCCTCTTCGAGGCATGATGTTAGCTATCTTGAGCCATGTTGGGCTATCTTGAGCGACCTTGGAGGCCATCTTGGGCCCTCGTGGAGCCATCTTGGGCCAAAAAGGACCCTCTGACACCTCGCGACCCCCCCGTTCAGGTTCAGTGGAGGAGGTAGGGGAGGGGTAACCCCCCCCCCGAAGGGGAAGAGGGGCCCTTGGAAGAGGGAGGGAAGACATCGTTGGACCGCCTGCGCCCAGAGGGCTGGCGGGATATCAGTTCTCAAACAAAAAACATGCACTCGCGTTCTTGCGACTCCGTAAGTAAGGCCACCATCGGTTTTTCAACATGTTCATTAAGTTCTGCCGAACGCCTCTCGCGCCGCATGTCGAAATCAGTCGAACGCCCTTGCGCGCGTGCTCGGGGGGGAGCGAGCCGCATGGGGGCCACTCGCGCGCCGGCCGCTCACGCATGTCGAATTCCTTCCAAAACCTGCGTCACCGACGCGAGGACGACGTCGTCGTCGGCGTGATCAGCATCGGCGCCGTCACTGGCATTGCCGTCGTCGTTGTCACCATCCTCACAAGCATCGCTACCATCACGATCATGTCTACATTTGTCGACGTTGCCATGATACCGCGCCCCGCCAATTCGTCGACTCGCACTAAAGTACCCGCTGGGAAGTGCCCAGCCGTCGGCGCCACCGCGGCCGCGTCGGTCGCGCCAAACTAGCTGGCTGCGTGAGAAAGCATGCGCGGGCTGGCGCGGCCGCAGCGAAGCGCCAACCAGCGCCGAGCAGACATCGCAATCGCCGCCGCATGAGTTTTGCAAACCAAGTTTCGGGCGGGCTGGTGGCATGGATACGCGACCATTGGAGTTGACAATTTCAAGTTCGGCAGGGTGAATTGCACAGCGTAGACTTCATCACATCGTTTGCAGCACAAGCACGGATCGCACGGCTTGCGGTGTACAATTGGCCCCTGACATCACACAGTTGCACCCCATTTTTGTCAGCATTACCACCATCAACATCATCCCTCTCCGTTTCCCCATCGTCCCCCCCAAACCCCAGACGTCGAGATTTCTTTCACAACGTCGACCCCTGGAGGTCTAGACCACTTCCCTGGGACAGGCTTCCCATCCTGAGTCGTCTTCTGACGGCCACGAGGCCCAGTAAGGGCCCCAGGAGGCCGAACATCGCGACGGACCTCCTGTCCTGATTTCTTCACAGCGCGAGGGCGTCTGGGTCCCCCTCCCCCCGTGCCGTCGATGACCACCATAGAACACCAGGAGGCAGCCTGCGGAGGTCCACGCGGACGTTCCAGGTCGGCGCCGACTCCCGCCCCGCGGCCCCTTGGCACGGCCCCTGGCGCCGAATCTTTTGCGCGCTCCACGCGCCGGGGAAGTAATGGGAAGTTTGTGTTTGTGTTTGTGTTGTTGTTGTCGCTGTCGTTGTTATTGTTGCGTTCGTTGATGTTGCTGGCGGTGGTGGTGTTGGTCTTGGTGTTGGCCTTGTTGTTGGTGGCGTTGCTGTTGTTGTCGTTGTTGTTGTTAACGTCAAGGGTATTGTTGGTGTTGTTGGCGATGTTGTTCTTGTTGGTGGTGTTGATGGTGTTGGTGTGGTTGCTGTTCGTGTTGCTCTTGCTGGTGCTGGTGCTGGTGCTGGTGCTGGTGCTGGTGCTGGTGTTGCTGTGGGTTGCTTCCTGCCACGTCCCAATTCCTGTCCTTCACCAGACCTCCCGGGCACCCTGAAAGAATCACATGGGAGGTGTTTCGCTATGTTCGCCCTCCGGGGGCCAATACGGGGCGTCGGGGCCGTCAGGGAACGACTCAGGATGAGGAACGGGTCCCAGGGAAGCAGTCGAGACTTCTGGAAGTCGTCGACTTCATTTTAAACTTTCATATAAACACGAAACGGGGTCGGGGCTTTGGGTCCTCTCTCTTCCTACTCCGCCCCTTCCCCTCACCGCAGCGTGATGCTCCCCACCTCTTCTTCCATCCAGCCGAGAAACGAGCAAGTGCAGGTCGTGTCCATGCTCCAGGCGATGGAGAGGAAGGTCAGGGAGCAGGGCGAGAAAGAGCAGGAGCCTTGCTCCTGTCTTGCATACTGTTTGTTCTCCAGCCCCTTCCTCCCGCCGAGGGGATAATGAGGAGTACGACGAGCAGAGTTGGAGGAGCAGCAGCAGCAGGCGAGGGAGGAAGATAAGCGGATCCGATCTGGAACTGAAGGGTTCACTGCATCGCTCCGCACGTCGCGCTGGCCCGAGGGCACGAGCCCTCCGAGACGAGATGGGGTCCATCGAGAGAGGCGCACCGCCTGGGCCTTCGGACCAGCACGCACGGCCGCTTGCAGTCCAACCCCAACGCATCACGCGGGACTGGGGAGGAGGAGGAGGAGGAGGAGGAGGAGGAGGAGGAGGAGGAGGAGGATAATGAGACGGAGGATGAGGCGGAGGAGGAGGAGGAAAAGGAGGAGCAGGAGGAGGAGGCGGAGTAGGACGAGAAGGAGGAGGAAGAGGAGAAGGAGGAGGAGGAGGAGGAGGATGTGGTTCTGTACTGTCTTCGGGCTCTATGCAGCTCAGCAGCTCAAAGAACTAGCAGAGCCGTGTGCTGACCGAATCGAGAGTGATCGAACATAGATCATTTTGATCGGAGTTCTCGTGGGGTCCGACCCAAAGCTTACAGCAAAGCTGAGCTAGCCAAGAAGCAGGAATCCTGCAGATAAGTTAGCTTTCCCGACCTGGTCGCCACATCCAGAACTCCAGAACTCTCCAGTCTCGAAGCAGGAGCATCCGCACAAGCGGAGCTGTCCGAGAAGCGCGCGAACGCATCGGGCTGGCGTTGGCAACGCCTCTGGCGCCATCCCGCCCGCTCTCTCGCTCCTCTTCTCTTCAACAATTACTCAATATGAATGCTACTCTCCCTCTTCCCCTGATGACGGTTTGAAAGTGGCCGACCCCCCGCCGCGTATTGCTTTTTTACACAGGTTTCCCCGGAGTTGGGTTTTCGCCTGCATTTTTTTCCAAAATGCTGGTCTCGCTGAGGCGCCGACCTCATTTTCGGGCCCCGCTCGTTCTGAATCGTGCCCCCGCTGCAGCGATGGCCTCATTTTCGTGCTTCTGGTCGTTCCGAATCGTGCTCCCGCTGCAGCGCTGGCCTCATTTCCGCGCTTCCGCTCGTTTCGACTCGTGCTCCCGCTGCAGCGCTGGCGTCATTTCCCGTGCCATGCCACGGCATGCAATGCAATGCTAGGTTGATACTGCGTTTTGCGGTGCTCTTCTACGCCATGCCATGCCGTGCTCTACAATGCATCGCGTACCCTTTCGGGATCATTGCCTTGCTCGACATCCGACTGAGCGAGTAGAGAGGGGATCTGCGCCATGGAAGGGATGCGAGGGAGGGGTAGGATGTCAGATATGACGCGAGCGCACCTAGCTTGCCCTCCCTCCCCTCCCCTGCCTCCCCCGCTGCCCGCTGCCCCCCCCCTGCTTCCACGCCCCCCCCTTCCCCTTCCCTTCCCCTTTCGCTCCCGTCCTCGCTCTCCCTCGTCGGCCCCGCCGCCAGCCACCCCCCCGTCCTGGCTGGCACCAGCGAAGCGTGCATGCGAGGAGGTCATCATCGGTCGGCCTGTCGTCATCGCCACCGCCGTCGTCGTCGCCGTCGTCGTCGTCGCCGTCAGTCCGTCCGTTCTCGTCGTCGCCGCCGTCGGAGTCCTCGCGCCCGCCCCCTATGAACGGATGGTGGTCTGGAAGCCCAGACATGTGGTGGCACGTTGTCCTCGGAGACCGGGTCTCGCCCAGGAGGCCACAAGTTGGAAAAGCGATGCTTCGAGCCAGAGAAAGCAGCACGTGCTGTGGTACTTACGTATGCGGTTTCATTGCGAGTAAGCATCCTTCAGAGTTGGCAAGGGAAGGAACAGCAGCAGCAGTAGTTTCAGGAGAAGGGGTGGGACAAGGAGGAGGAAGAGGAGGAGGGCAAGTAGATTCGCTGTGTTTCTCCAGCCTCTTCCTCCGCCTCATCCTCCCCACCCCCCTCCTGCCATCGGCTGCAATGGACTCTGGTTCGGCCTCTTCCTCACCTCTCCCCCCTCTGCGCATCGCGCTGAACGTGTTATCACGCCAGGTCGCTTCGCCATCGCTGGAAACGCCCACCGCGGAATGCGTCGCGCAGCCAGGTCGGCGCACATTTCCACACACGGCATTGTCCTGGCGCGCTCGCCAATTCTTCTATGCTCAGTTGATTCTTCTCGGTCCTCTTCCACCTGCGCTTGTTTTCGTCGTTTTCCTCGTCCCCCCCGCCGGTCCGCTGCCTGGCAGTGCGTGTGAGATGTCGGCCTTCGTCTGGTTTGGTCGTCTTCAGTATTAAAAGGGTCGTCTTCAGGAGCTCTTCGACAAGTTTATGCGCGGGGCTTGGTCGCTCGCTATTCAGGTATGGAGGGAGAAGAGTAAGAGGAGGCGTCGGGGTGACAGCGTCCCTGGAGGAGATTCATGCCGACAGCGCCAAGCGCACAGGAGGCATCGGGACCCAGGAGGAGGAATGAGGAGGAGGAGGAGGAGGAGGAGGAGGAGGAGGAGGAGGAGGAGGGGGGAGGATCGAGGAGGAGGCCGAGGAGGATGAGGAGGCATAATGCACCAGGCAGGGGGGATGGGGCACGCGGTAGCAGGAGGGGAGATTGGAGGAGGATGGAGGGAGGGGGGGCGGAAGGGGAAGGATGGTGAAGGGGAGACGAGGGACGAGGGAGGATGGGGGAGGGAGGACGACGTGGACAGGGAGGATGCCTACACAGTGACCGCCCCATCATACTGGGAGATAGTTTTTCTTCGAGGGCCGATGTCTTCCTTCACCGCCGTGGCGATCGCTCTGGACGAGGCTGTCCAGGCAGTGTGGGCCATAGTTAATGCCATTCGCAACCGGCCGTCCTCATGACTAGGGCCTCGCAAAAGAAAGAACAGACGAGGAGGATGAGGAGAGGAGGCCGACGGACCGTGGACGAGATGCTGGGGGTCGGCAACGGGGAGGAGGACCAGAAGGAAGAGGAAGAGGAGCGGGAGGAGGCGGGGGCGGAAGAGAATGGGCGGGGGGGGGAGGCCCAGGGCGCAGCGGCGGCTGGCTCCAGGAGGAGGCGGAGGAGGAGAGGAGGAGCGAGCGTCACCGCGTCTCGGTCGACTGGTGGAGCTCCACGAGGCAAGAGGGTCTCTTTGCCCACGGTCCCCCACCGGATCCGGCGGTTCGTGGGGTCTCTTGGGGCCCCCTTGGGCCGCTTTGGGGGCCCTCCTTGGAGGCCCACTGGGCCGTCCTGGAGCGATCTTGGGGGCCTCTTAGGGTTGCCTGGGAGCGTCGGGAAACGCCGAAAAGGCGAGAACGCCCCAAACCCCCCCGAAAAACCAAAGTGCACAATGATTACTCGATTCGGGCCTCCCCCCTCTTGGCCACGCGGCAGGGGAGGAGGAACAAGCTGGGGTTAGGTCGGGCATGCCCTACAGGCGGATCTGGGGAAGAGACTGACAAATAGTCAAAACATGTGCAGAAACAGTCCCGACAGAACATTGAATCGAGAAAAATTCGTCCCCAGACTATGTTTGACTGCTGTTTGAAGACTCCTCCTGCAGAGGGGTGTGCCCGACGAGAAGCTGGCGGGCGCGAGCGCGAGCCAAGGGCCCACCCCGCTGGGGCGCGACGCGGATGAGCGCGCTTCTCGCGCCTCCGTCGCGCGCCGCGCGCGGTCGGGGCCGGAGCGGCGGCCCCCCCGCCAGGCCCAGTGTTTCGCCGGGGGCGCGAGGGCGAAGAGAAACCCATGGGACCTGGGCGTTGCGTTGCGCCGGGCAGGTCCCTCCACAGGAGGAGTTTGTGGTGAGTCAAGAATGGTCTGGGGACGAATTCTCGATCAGTTTTTGACCAGTTTTGAGCATTTGTTCGGCTATGCCTCACTTTCCGTTCGAGGCCCGCGTATGTAGGAGGACTTGCCCGACCCAAGCGCTGCAGTTTTGGCTCCAGTGTTAAGTAGGGCCTGTCCCTCTACAGGAGGGATATTCAGAAATCGTCCAAAAATCGTCTGGGGACTATGGTTTGGCTATTTTAAAGCACATGTTTGATTATTCAAATTTTTCGCCCGAAATCCCCCTGTAGGGGGACAGGCCCGACCTGACTCCAGTGCGGCAAACGGCGCCGAGAGATGGGGTCCAGGGGCCTCTTGGGCCGTTCCGGGGCCCTCTTGGAGGCCTCTTGGGCGATCTTTGGGCGATCTTTGGGGGCTCTTGGGCCGTCTCGGGCCGTCGGAAGGCCGAAAAGAAGCAAATGTTAAAATCACCCGAAAACCCACGGGAAATCCGTGTTTGTTTACCTTTTCTGGCCGTCCTGGAGGCCCTCTTGGAGGCCTCTTGTTCCCCGCGTGCGCTTCCGCGGCGTCGCAGCGTCGCGCTGCAGCGCCGGACCTCGGCGGCCACGGCGTCGCGCATCCACCGCGGGGCGCGGTGCGCGCGAAGGTGGGCGACCCGGGGAGCGCGGGGGGGGGAACGAGGAGCCAAGAAGGCAAGGCGGGCACGTCCCTCGGCAGGAGGACAGCACTCGAGGGCTGCAAAAGATATAGTCTGGTGGCGATGTTCCGTGCCCTCTTCACTATGTTTGATGATGTTTGACCGACCAGTTTCTCTATACATATATATATATATGTATGTATATATATATGTGGTTGTATGTACATGTTGATATATATATATATATATATATATATATATATATATATATATATGTGTGTGTGTGCGTGTGCATGTATATCGATATACGTATATAGATGTATAATTGTGTATATGTATGTGTATATATATATGTATACATATATCCGCGCCGCAGTGCCGGCCCCCGCGCGGCCGCAGGGGGCTACCGGGCCGCGAGCCCGAGCTCGTCGGGCGGGTGGTAGCGGGGGGGCGACCTAAAGTTAAGCCCAGCATGTCCTCCACAGGAGGAATCTTCGAAACGAGTCAAAAAAATATGGGGACGATGTTTCATCTACTGTTGCGTATTAGTGAGCATGTTTTGATGTTGCTTGATGTTTGTTCTACCGAGATCCGCTTGTAGGAGGACATGTCCGGCAATGGGGGGTGGCCTACATGGGGGGCGAGAAAAGGACCCTACAGGGGCACTTGAGGGCCCGTTTTGAAGCCAGCAGGGGGCCACAAGGGGCCCACAAGGGCCACGGGGCCGCGAGCCCGATCTCGTCGGGCGGGTGGTAACGGAAGGTGACCTAAATTCGGCGGCAAGCGCGGGGGGGAAGACAGAAGGAGAAGGCCTTCTCAGAAGGCGGCGGGACTTCTCAGAAGGCCTCGCTTCTTCTGAGGTTTTGTGTGTTTTCCAGGCAGGCGTAAAGAAAATGTCTCACAAGGCCAGGGCACGTCTGAGCCTTCTGAGGCGGCCAGCCCCTTCTTGCTTCCCCCCCCGGGTTCGCCGCCGATAAAAAGCCTTAAAGGGGCATTTTAGGGCCCTTGTTTGCGCCAGCGGGGGCCCACGAGGGGCCCGAAACTGCCCCTCTAGGGGCTTTTTCTGCACCCCCCATATAGGTCACCCTTCATTACCACCCGCCCGAGCTCGGAGCAGAGAGGTCGACAAAACCAGGAACTCGGGGGCGGCCAGGAGGGGGGCGATGACTGCAGGGGGTTCCGTGCCCCCTCGCCTTGTCAAACAAAGTCGAGACGGCGGGTTTTTCGCTATTTTCAGCTCTCGTGGGCCTGTATCGGGCCTCGCGAGACCGCCAAACAAGGAGGCAGGATGAAAAATCAGTTTTGATGAAGGGGTCGAGACACGGCGTCGGGGTTCTGGGGTGGGTATCATGTATGGCCGAGGCCGTGATTTTTTCCCGGCAGACCGTGGCGCGCCTTCTTCTGTCCATGCGGCATTTGGCCCCCCCCACTGAGCCGCGCACACGCCCGAGGCCACGATTTGGGACCCCCCTCTTGGACGCCCCCCCCTCTCTTTGAACGCCCCCGATAAACTCTCGGAGTTCCGCGCGGATTTCTCGGATCGGCGCGGGGTCCTCACCAGCAGCGCCTCCGGCGCGGGCCGTGCGATGGGGTCCAGTGCAGATCCAGGAACGCCGCGCAGCGTTCCAAAAGTTTGTTTATCATTAGTATGAGTAGTATCATTATTTGTGGTAGTAGTAGTAGTAGTAGTAGTCGTAGTCGTAGTCGTAGTCGTAGTCGTAGTCGTAGTCGTAGTCGTAGTCGTAGTCGTAGTCGTAGTCGTAGTCTTAGTCGTCGTCGTAGTAGTAGTAGTAGTAGTAGTAGTAGTAGTAGTAGTAGTAGTAGTAGTAGTAGTTGGTGTTGTTGGTGGTGGTGGTGGTGGTGGTGGTGGTGTTGTTGTTGGTGGTGGTGGTGTTGTTGTTCTTGAATTCTCACTTCTGAAGAGTAATTATTGTTGATCCCCCCACCGGTGCATATTGTTTTCTCAATCAAAGTCTGCCCCTCGACGCTCGCACCCTGTTTCTTTGACAGAGAAAGTCTTCCTGCTCAAACTGGGCCCCTGGCCCCCGGGTTACAACAACAACGGTTCCCGCCTGAGACTTCCTTACAATTTAGCCAGGACCCCCGCTCCCGCCCGAGATCTCTTCGCATTTTATTCAGGAATCGCCCTCTCGCTTAGGACTTCCTTACAATTTATTCAGGAATCGCTCTCCCGGCGCTCTGGAGTCGCGCTCTCGCTGGAGATTTGCTTGCGACTTACTGAAGAATGGCCTTGCGTTGGAATTTCTTGCAATTTGCCCAAGCGCCGCGCTCCCGACACCCAGGCACCCAGGAGTCGCGCCCGTTGTGGCCCAATGTGCATGCCCTTCGTGGCCCCGCTGTCGCCATTTGTGTCCCCCTCATTGTCCTACGTGGCCCAGTTGCTACCCTCAGTGGTCCCACAGTTGCCTTTTGTGGCCCCGCATTATCTGCACTTCGTGGCCCCCGCTCGCCCGCGCTCTTCGTGGCCCCATACGCATTCCATTCGTGTCCCCGCTGTCGCCCTTCGTGGCCTACTTCGTGCCCTTCGTGGCCCTGCTGTCGTTCTCTCTCGCTCTCGCTTTCGCTCGTCGTCGCTGTCGCCGTCGTCTTCGACGTCGTCGTCGTCGTCGTCGTCGTGGTCGGTCCCCTGTCCGTCCCTCTTGGGGTCGGGTCGACGGTCCGCGGCCGCCCCGCCGATCAGCGCTGCCGCTAGCCAAGCCGACGGTCCGCGGCCGCCCCGCCGCTTGCCGGGGCCCGGCCTGCAGGTCAAGAAAGGTCTACCCCCCAAAAGAGGTTCGATCGAACACGAAGAGGGCGGGTACGGAGGGTTTTTGGGAATTGCGCGTTATTGAACACTCGAGCATATAAGGGCAAACAGTCCTACAATTAACGTAGTAGTAGTAGTAGTAGTAGTAGTCGTCGTCGTCGTCGTCGTCGTCGTCGTCGTCGTCGTCGTCGTCGTCGTCGTCGTCGTCGTCGTCGTCGTCGTCGTCGTTCGTCGTCCGTCGTCGTCGTCGTCGTAGTAGTAGGAGTCGTAGTCGTCGTCGTCGTCGTCGTAGTCGTAGTCGTAGCGTAGTCGTTAGTCGTAGCGTAGTTCGTAGTCGTAGTAGTAGTAGTAGTAATAGTAGTAGTAGGTAGTAGTAGTAGTAGTAGTAGATAGTAGTAGTCGTAGTAGGAGTAGGAGTAGTAGTAGTAGTAGCAGTCGTACTCGTAGTCGTAGTCGTAGTCGTAGTCGTAGTCGTCGTAGTCGTCGTAGTCGTCGTAGTCGTCGTAGTCGTAGTAGTCGTAGTAGTCGCAGTAGTAGTAGTACTACTACTATTAGTAGTAGTAGTAGTAGTAGTAGTAGTAGTAGTCGTAGTAGTGGTGGTAGTAGTAGTCGTCGTAGTCGTAGTAGTAGTCGTAGTAGTCGCCGTAGTAGTAGTAGTAGTAGTAGTAGTCGTAGTAGTAGTAGTAGTAGTAGTAGTAGTAGTAGTCGTAGTAGTAGTAGTAGGAGTAGTAGTAATAGTAGTAGCAGTAGTTTAGTAGAGAGTAGTAGTCGTTGTCGGTAAAGTAGTCAGTATAGTAGTAGTAGTAAAGTAGTAGTAGTTAGTTGTTGTAGTTGTAAGTAGTAGAGTAGTAGCAGTAGTAGTAGTAGTAAAATAGTAGTAGTAGTAGTAGTAGTAGTAGTAGACATAGTAGTGTAGTAGTAGTAAGTAGTAGAGTAGTAGTAGTAGTAGTAGGTAGTAGTGGTAGTTAATAGTAGTTAGTACTACTATACTACTTATACTACTAGCTACTACTACTTCCTACTACTTACGACTACGACTTACGGACTTACGACTTACTACTACTATTACTACTACTACTACGACTACTCCGACTACGACTACTACTACTACTACTACTACTACTACTAACTACTACTACTACTACTACTACTACGAACTACTACTACTACTACTACTACTACTACTACTACTACTACTACTACTACTACTACTACTACTACCACTACTCTTACTACTACTACTACTACTACTACTACTACTACTACTACTACTACTACTACTACTACTACTACTACTACGACTACGACTACGACTACGACTACGACTACTACCACAACTACGAGTAGCAGCAGCAGCAGAAGTAGTCGTAGTAGTAGTAGTAGTCGTAGTAGTAGTAGTAGTAGTAGTAGTAGTAGTAGTAGTAGTAGTAGTAGTAGTACTAGTAGTAGTGGTAGTAGTAGTAGTAGTAGTAGTAGTAGTAGTAGCAGCATGACGAGGAGGGGGGATCAGAAGAACGAGGAGGAGGGCACCCTCTCCCTCCTACGCCTCCTTTTCCCCCCGAGGCGCGATTCCTCCCCAAGGGAAAACATCCCAAGAGTGGCGTGCCGCTGGATTTTGGGGCCGCTGGGAGAGGACTCCTAGTCGTGAGCGGCCTTCGGTCTCAGCCTCTCCACATCGGCAGCTCAAGTTGCCTGCTGTGGCTGTTGCTGAAAACCTGAGGTGCTACTGTAAGACTGGTGTCGGGTCTCTGGAGAAGAGCATCGCGGACGCGGAAACGAAGATCCCCGCGCTGAAGGCGGACATCGAGAGCTCCAGCGAGCAGGTCGAGGAGTCAAAGGAGCCACGTGGAAGAGTGGGAAGACGAGGAGGAGGAGGCGGAGGAGGAGTAGGAGGAGAGGGGGATTATGACCCAGACTCCTTCGAGCCGTGGAAAAACACGACGGGTGATTTTGGCAAATTGCGGCCTCTCGTGGTCATCAAAAAAAATGTTCAGGACGAAACACGCGTTTCGTGGAAAGGTTCGGGTTCTCCAGGGACGGCGCATTGGCAAATCAAGACATCGTATGTCTGGGGGGAGGGGGACGACGACAACGAGGACGATGAGAAGCAGGCAGTAGAGGAGGAGAAGGATGGCGAGGAGGAGGAGCGGGAGTGCTGGGATGGAGCGTTGTGCAGGATGGGGAGACAGAAAAAAGCAGGAGGAGGAGAATGAGTAAGACGCCAGTAGAAGATGAATAGTTACAAGACGCCCGAACCCACACTACAGTCAACCTGCATGGTAAAGACGGGCAACCTTCCAAAGGGTATCCTCGCATCCTTGCCTCCTCGGCCCATCCTTGGCCGCTTTTGTTGGCCGCGCCCCGCTCGGAATGCTCGGGAATGGCCTTTCAAGGCCCTGGCCTCCCTGTGGCGCATCCTTACGATACGGATGCAATGTACATCAAGACGAAAGTTGAGGGCCCCCCCCCTGAGCTAAAAGCAGCCATGGCGCAGGTCCCTCAGGCCGCTGTCTTGGGCGGTGCCCCCAACGCCACCAGGAGCGTTCTGAGAGGCGGGTCTTCGAGGAGGAGGAGGAGGAGGAGGAGGAGGAGGAGGAGCAGGAGGAGCAGGAGGAGCAGGAGGAGCAGGAGGAGCAGGAGGAGGAGAGGGAGTGGCAGGAAGGGAGGGCAGGAGGGCGGGAGGGGGGAGGGGAGGGGAGGGGGGGGGAAGGGGAGGGGGAAGGGGGGGGAGGTGGAGGGGAGGGGGAGGGGGAGGGGGAGGGGGAGGGGGAGGGAGGCGCCGCCCGAGAGGGGCAAGAAGCACACAGAGACACAGCGTTCGGGGGCGGCCAAGAGGGGGGGGGGGACTAGGGGGGGAGGGGCATCATGGCGGGGGCCAGGATCTTTCCCCAGATTTCATGGCGCCTCTTCTCGTTTCACTGCGTCCCTGCCTCCCCCCCCGGGCCGCGCACATGCCGCCGGTCATGATCTGCACCCCCCCCTCCTGGACACCCCCCTCCTGGCCGCTCCCGAAGCGCACAAGTGCGAAACATGCACGGGGAGTGCGCGTCCGAGCGGAGGCGAGGCGCGCGCGGAGGCGAGAGCGCCGCTTCCGGCTTTCGGGCGAAGCCTGCGCGGCGCCGAGGCATCGGCGAGGTCGTCTGGGAGCGAAGGGTGTGCGCCGCGGAAGGGAGCGGCGGTGCACATTTTGGCGCGGCATGTGCGCCCCGTCCCAGTTCTGCGTCACATGTTTCGGAAGTGGATGGACCTCCTACCCTGACACGTCGATTCAGGAATTGGCCGTTTTCGGCCCGCGAGAGGGCGTCGTGGTCGTCATTTTTGTGGGCCCAGGTCCGTCGGTTTCGGCTCCAGGCCGTTTTCACGAAGGGGAGGTTTACGAAAGGGAGGATTGTCCACCGCCGAGAGCGAACGCCGCGGAAGGGAGCGACGGTTCACACTTTGGCGCGGGATGTGCGCCCCGTCCCAGTTCTGCCGCACGTGTTGGACCGTCGGCGGCAAAACGTCCACGTCGAATGGGAAAACGTAGACCCTCCTCCTCCTCCTCCTCCTCCTCCTCCTCCTCCTCCTCCTCCTCCTGAACGTCCCCGATGAGACGGTCAAGTCAGGCACGAAGAGGGAGTACGTTGGGAGATAGGAGGAAGGAGGGCAGAACGACGGGGAAGAGCACAAAGACGAGAGGTTGCAGGAAGAGGAGAACTCTTCGGACCCTTCGTAACGCACAGCGTGCGGAGGAGGAGGGGGTGGGGGGGAAAGAGGGGCGCTGCACCGGCTCAGGCTGCCTAGCAGCAGCCTCCCCCCGACCCTTCGGCCCCTCCAATCGGATGGCGACGAGGGGCCGCAACAAGAGGCGGGGAGGGTGCAGCAGCAGACCCTTCCGCACGCTGTGCCGCCGCGGCGGACGAGGTGGCAGTCACTCGAGCGCGGGCGATCGCCAAGACCACCGTGGGGGGCCCGTGGAGGAAGAGAAGGACAAGGAGGAGGAGGAGGAGGAGAACGAGGAGGAGGAGGAGGAGGAGGACGGGGACGAGGACGATAACGAGGACGAGGACGATGAGGAGGAAGACGAGGACGAGGACGAGGACGAGGACGAGGAAGAGGTAAGGTAGGGCGGCGGCCGAAAGCCAGGCTGGGGCGTCTCCAGCCCACGTCCGGCCTCGGAGCCCGAGGCGCTGACGCCCGCCTCTCGGAGGCCGACGCCTCCGAGTCTGTCGCAAGACGGCTCCCACCAAGGGATCCCGCCGAGGGAAGATTGACCCCTCGCGATGCCACGAGAGGCGAACGAGCAAAGGGGGAGGGACGACGACGGCTACGACGGTAGCAAGGACCAGGACAAGAACGACGACGACGACGACGACCGCGACGACGACCACGGCGACAACGACGACGACGGCGACGGCGACGGCGAAGACGAGGAAGAGAAAGAGGAAGAGGAGGAGGAGGAAGAACAGGAGGAGGAAGAAGAAGAAGAGGAGGAGGAGGAGGAGAAGGACGAGGAGAAGAAGGATGACGACAAGAAGGACAAGGGGGAGGGGGAAGGACGAGGAGCACCCCGCCGCACGCCCGCAGAGGAGACCCTGAAGCAGGAGCAGGCGGAGCGCGAGTCCACGCAGCAGGCTTTGGCGCCCCCCCCCAGCAGGGGTCGAGTCGGCTCTGCCGGCATCGTCGTCGCCGCCGCCGCCGTCGACGTCGGTCTGCTTTCGGAGGAGGGCCACTCGAGTTAACGGGGCACCGCGCGGATTTCTTGGATCCGCTCTGGGGCCCCCCCTGCGGAGCCTCCAGCCCCCCTCCCTGGCGCGCTCCGCGCGCCAGGGAGGCGGGCCCAGCGCAGATCCAAGAAAGCCAAAAAGTTTACGCTTATGGCGGTTCTTCTTTTTCTGTAGTCGTCCCTAGCGTTTTTCCGGGTCAGCATGGACCCCATGATGGGTGTGGGGGCCGATTCTGAGCGGCTTCGGGCCAGGAGGAAGGCCGCCGTCATGTCAACAGCTCGTCTTCCGACCGTCGTTCCCATCCTCGCATCCGCCGTCGTGGTAGGAGGAAGGGGAGGAGCACGAGGAGGAGGAAGAGGAGTAGGGAGTACGGTCGGGGAAGTTTTGGATGGCGTGTCGTTCCGCCGATTCTGGCCCACCACGCTTCGGCACGACACGCTACAGTTGAGAGGCAGGGAGCGGGGAGGAGAGGGGGCGAAGCCGGGGACTCTCCTCCGCTCCTCCCCGATGCCTGGCCCCCCTCCCGCCCGCCCCCCCCCCCTCAACTCCCCTCCCCTCCCCTCGCCTCTCACCTCTATATCCCTCCTCCTCCTCCTCTCCTCCTCCTCCTCCTCCTCCTCCTCCTCCTCCTCCTCCTCTCCTCCTTCCTCCTCCTCCTCCTCCTCCTCCTCCCCTCCCTCCGTCCTCCTCCGCCTCCTCCTCCTCCTCCTCCTCCTCCCTCCTCCTCCCTCCTCCTCCTCCTCCTCCCTCCTCCTCCTACGCCCCCCTCCTCCTCCGCCCCCCCCCCCCCCCCCGACGGCCCGGCCCGGCGGGGGCGCGGCGCGTGGACGAGGCGAGGCGGCGGCGTACGCCTCCGAGAAGGAGCCCCGCCGCCGCGGCCGCCCGCGGCGCTCCCCGCCTCCTCCTCCTCCTCCTCTCTCCTCCTCCTCCTCCTCCCTCCTCCCGCTCCTCCTCCTCCCTCCTTCTCCTCCCGTCCTCCTCCTCCTCCCTCCTCCTCCTCCTCCTCCCTCCTCTCTTCTCCTTCCTCCTCCTCCTCTCCTCCTTCCTCCTCCTCCTCCCTCCTCCTCCTCCTCCTCCTCCCACGCCCCCCTCCTCCCCCTCCTCCTCCTCCTCCTCCTCCTCCTCCTCCTCGTCGTCGTCGTCGTCGTCGACGGCGTGGCCCTGCCTCCTCGGAAGAACAAGAAGCTCGGTGTGCTGTTCTTCGGCGAGCTTGGTTTGCGGAGTTCGGTTCGTGGTTCGTTGTGCTGCCTCGCTGAATGGCGGCCTTGTTTCGTGTCCGTTGCCGTTTGCACCCGTATCGTTGTATCAAACGGTTCGTTGCCAACGGTCGGATCGTTGTCGTGTTCGATCTAAACGCCAACGCGTGTTAAACATCGCTGTGGTCGGTCCTTCAAAAATTGCATGAGCCAAGGGTTTGGGAGTCTTCTGCGAAGGTTTCTCCACTACAAATCGCGAGTGGTCTTCAGGAGCTCGAAGAACAGAAACGGCATCGACTAAGGGACTCGGGGCTCCACGCGTAGTTATGTCGTGGATCTGCGCTGGACTCTACTGGCGGCGCCTGCGGCGCCGCCCCTGTCGCGTTCAGCGCGCCAGGGAGGAGGGGGGGTTCCAGCGCAGATCAAGGAATCCGCACGGACCTCTGACAGTTTAGGTGTATGCCGTGACTTGCTCCTCTACTCGTCCCCCCTCGTCCTCGCTGCCACCCGCAGCATTGTGAATCGTCACATTCGCTCTGCTGCACTCCTTTCCGTTCCCGTCTCTTTCCAGTCTTCTCTCCCTTTCTTTTCTTTGGGCCGATGTTGGGGTTTGCTCCTGTCTGGGGTTCAGGGGTTCCTTATCCGTAGGTTCCCTACCTAGGCTCTGCCTAGAAGGGTTCTTACTCTCTGGGCTTAAAGGGGCCGGGCAGTGGAAAGCGCCCCGGGCGGTTCCCCCAGTATCCGCCCCGCGGTCCCCCTAGGTATGTCCCTTTAGCTTAGCGTTGAGTATCTCATCTTAGCTTAGCTTGCTTCATCTTAGCTTAGCGTAG